ATATGTTTTACCAAACATTTTGAATTATTCTTTGTTAAATCTTTGGCCAAAAACTCACCGTCTCAATCACTTCCAAAGCCATCATTTCTAACAACACTATTAGCTGCTTATTTCACAGATGGCCGCGCTTGGTTTTATATCATTAAACTAGCTAACAATTAATAGGTCTGAAAACAAATCCCTCTTCTGCTGTCTGTTTCATTTTTTAATACCGAATTTCTGCACAGTATGGATTTCATATCATCATATTCATCATTTCAAAGTAGTCATAATCACCAACAGAAAAGGCTAGATCTCGCCTCGTCGCAGCACACACCTTACAAACATAATCTCTCCATGCATGATAGATATACCCTACACAACAGTCATACAAATCACCTCACATAAATATTTACAGGCCTCCAAGCTTAAACTATCGTTGTGTCCTCCGTACTGCTTTCTTAATCTTCCTAACTGGCGCCCCCCCATCTGCAGTTGGTTGTGCACTGAAAAAAATTATAATTCTTAGATATATATATAACCGGCAGAGGATCACTGAGGTCCCATATGTAATGTGTACGAGCGAGAAATACAAAGGGTACTGTAAAAGTTTTGCAATATGACTTAACAAACGGACGCAGGAGTCTGCATGTTACTGCATGTTGAGACATGTCCATGAGTACATAGTAGCCGCCAGCAGCACGTCTGTTGATTTACTTGTTCATTCGTATTGACAGGGTAAAGTGCGGACTATGGCATCGTGGCCACGTAGTGAGATGAGTCCAGTTTTACGGTATAACTTTACGCGTGGATTAAGAATAGACCAGTGCTTAGAAGAAATGACGCTTGCATTAAAGAATGATTGTATATTCACGTGGTACAGAGAATTCCAAAGGGGCAATTTTACTCTGGAGGACGCTGAGAGCAAGGAAATGCTTGACGTAGACTGGAGAGTGACATACCAACAGACAGAGGAGGTGTAACCTTCATGCACTAGCAATTCATTCAATTCTGGTTGACCATTTACACGTAAGGAAACTTTGTTATCTGTGGGTACCGCATAGTGTGACGGAAGAGCAGAAGACTCGTCGTACGACTTGGTGCCGAAAGATGCTAAAAATTTTTGATAAGATGCAATCTCGGTATGTGAACAGCATCATGACAGGTGACGAGACCTGGCTCTATTATTACGATGTGCCGACCAAGCCTCAAAACCAAGTTTGAGTCTTTGATGATGACGATACACCCGTAGCTGTCAGAAAATCCCGATCTGTCAAGAAAAAATTGGTAGCTGTATTTGTCAAATCGAGCGGGAATGTGGAGCGTGTTATTTTGGAGCTAAGTGGTACACGGAACAGTGCCTGCCTAAAGTCATAGTCTACGAAAAACCTGCGGCCAAAGTCAAGAATGGACACTTGGTACCTCCTAGACAACGCTCCAGCTCACCACGCCAAGGCCTGCACCGAGTACTTAACCACGACTGGACTGAAACTTATTGAGCACCCTCCTACAGTTTAGATCTGGCTCTCTGCGACTTTGCACTGTTTCCGCATGTGTGTAGCGATGAGGACCTTCTGAGGGCTTTTAACAACGAGTGTGCCGCAATCTCGGGTGAAACTTGGCAGAGCTTGTTTAAGGACTGATTTTGGCGGATAGAGAAGGGTATTGAAAGTGGTGGAAATTACTTTGAACTAAGTCAATAAATAAAGCAGTATTGCAAATCTTTTATAGTACCCATTGTATTTATGCCCATACTCATTAAATACGGAACATCAATGATTCTCTGCGGATCCTGGTTGTATATAGAAAGAGGCTCTTGTGTCAATGACATCCATATAGTGAGAATACAGTTGGTCCCTAAAATGTCCATATTTAACATTTTTGTGTAAAATTTTTGGTAGTTTTTTGGATTCGCCCCATATAAAAAAATGTACTACCCCCCGCACTTCAAAAAGTTTTGGAGGCAGTTACACTTTTACAAAAATCTCTTGCCCGAGAAAAATTTCTGCAAGAGCTCATGATATCCCTGCTAATAGAGTCGAAATTTTTATATTTTAATGTTAAGATATCCGAGAAGCCTAAATCCAGATAATCCTGATAGACACCGTTCTCACTAAAACCATTTTGACGACAAGCGGACTGCCACTTAATTTCGATTTCGTCTGCACTGGCTTTTGCTTTACCACTGAAGGTAAGCGGCCAGATTTTTTTATCTACTAACCATATATTATGCTTAGTAATAAAAAATCGAAATAATAAATTATCTATTTTTTTTTCTAAAACGCCCAGATTAGAAAAAAACACGGATAAGAATCGTATTCATGGAGGCAGTATTAGAATCTATTTTGGCTATATATGAAGGCAAGCCACGAATTACATGTTTGCATCATATTGACAAAGATCTGGCTTTCACACTTTATAGCAATTTAGCAACAAAGAAAGCCTTAGTTTGGTCCTGCATCTTAACAATATAATAAGCTATGAAACGTAATCCCTGTATTTTTTCTAGTCTATGATGTGATCTTACATATAAACAATTTAAGAGAGCATTCGATGTATTGTACTTACCTAAAGGATGGTAAACTTCCACCAGTGAAGTTGAATTGTGGCTTTGTATTTACGTCAAAAGTTGGAGCAGCTGCTGAAAAGTTGAATCCGCTTGGAGTAGACTACAACAAACAAAACATTTTTGTTAATTGTCAAGACCGTTTTTTTCAGAACAAAGTGTTTGCCGTTGGATGTCGATGTAAATAAAGTTTCCATTAATAAATCGACGAACCACAGGGCACAGCTAGAACATCATGTACACCAGAATTATCTTGTAATAAGCAGCGAGTCTGATTAAAATTTTAATTAAACTAAACATGATGCTTTTGTCCGTCCGGACAAAAAGACAGACAACCATGGACAACTGTTTCGTTCTTTTTGGCTACTCATCAGCATGGTCTAGACTTGATCTCTTGTATCTGGAAGAACGAACGGAAGCATCGCAACTATCCTCTACACCGGAGGTATACTACAGTTCAGATCTTGCTCACTGCGGACTTTGCACTGTTTCCGCACGTGAAAATGAAGCTAAAAGGGAAACGGTTTTCTAGCGATGAGGACCTTCTCAGGGACAACGAGGGTGTCGCACTCCCGGGTGAAACTTGGCAGAGCTGGTTTAAGGACTGGTTTTGGCGGATGTATTGAATGTGGTGGAAATTACTTTGAACGAAGTCAATAAATAAAGCTGTAATGTAAATCTTTTATAGTACCTTTTGTACAGAGTCCGTCAGAAAGAACGCATGTTTTTTAAATGAGTAGTACAGTCAAAATAAGTACGGGAAAAATATTTTATTATGTCAAAATACTCAGAAATATATGCCATTTTTTTAGTAAAACAAAATTTACGTTCTAAGAACTATGTCGGCCATATGGCGCCCTTGAGCCGAAATGCAGGAATCAAGCCTCTCCCGAAATGAGCCCATTGCGTCGGCCAGCATCCATGCAGGAATTTGGGTTACTTCTCTTCTTATTTCCTCGTTCAAATCGCCGGGGTCCGAGGCTTGCTTTGGTAAACTTTTGATTTCAGGTAGCCCCATAAAAAAAATCACTTGTTGACAGGTCCGGGGAGCGAGGAGGCCATGACGTGAAATGAGACGTTCTGGGAATTTTTGCCAAGTTCCATCGAAGTGCGAGCTGTGTGATGTTGCCCCGCCTTGTTGGAACCACACTGTTCTGAGACAGACACGTCGACGTCGAAGTTCCGAAAAAAAAGTTCAGCATGTGGATGTAACGCTGTGAATTCACAGTAGATGTTTCTCCATCATCCTCAAAAAAATAAGGGCCAATAATCATCGTTGGGCCTACTGCACACCGAACTGTAACTTTCGGGGTATGCAGGGGATGCTCATGCAACTGTTGGGGGTTCACTGGAGACCAATATCGACAATTTTGTTTATTGACGTATCCATGTAAATGAAAATATGCTTCATCACTCATAAACAACGTCATATCATTGTTATCCAACTGTTCAATCATGAGCTGTGCAAAATTAACACGTTGTGCATAATCCCCTGTTGACAAACTTGTATTTTGTAAGGATGAAACACTAAATCCTTCTTCAAGATGCGACGTACAGAGGACGTGTGGATCCTTAGGAAACTGGCACGCAAACGGACGGAACGATTCGGGCTCTGCAGCGTCTACGTTTTCGAGGGTTCTAACAGTACGGATTTTTCTTCATCACATTACCTGTTGCGTTGAATGCTTCCACCCATCTCAAAATGGTGTTACGGTCTGGTACTGTCCCATAACGTGGAACACAAAAGTGAACACGAAACTCACGTTGCGTTCGAACGACAGACTCTCCATTTTGAAAGTACCGACGTACAGTGAACACACGATGCTCAACGTTCCAAACCATATTTCCAACTGAAACGGCACTTCTCCCACTATCCAATACGCCTTCCCCACCGACACGGACCAGCCCACTCGATGTAGTACCTATTCGAAAAACATGCGTTCTTTCTGACGGACCCTGTATATCACTATCAATGTTTGTCTTAATTTCATTTAAATCTTTGTCTTGCCAAAGTATAGTGGTATCGTTAGCAAAAACTGTGAATTTACCATTTAAGCTTAAGTTTAATAAATCATTGACATAGACTGAGAATAGGAGCGGACCTAATACTGATCCTTGAGGTGCCCCAGCGTTTATATTTAATTTTTTTTAAATATGTCTTGATGATTTTACAATTTGTGATCGATTATTTAAATATGTTTTAAATCAAATGCGTATACTCCCAGTACAACCATATTTGTTTAATTTTTCTAATAGTATATCATGATTTACACAGTAAAAAAATCAGGAAACGTCGCAAAAAAAGAGATATTGGAAATTGTTTATCGTTTAAATTTGAGTATAACTGTTGCAGTATGTGAAAATATCATCCCTGGTATTTTTTTGTTTTTAAAATCTAAATTGGTTAACACATCCGGTTTTTAGAAATTCTCTTGATCTAATGCATCAATTTCAGCACCCGTTAAAAAATGAGGGAATCTTTTTGAATAATACGATGAACTCACCATAGCCGCAGCGCCAAATTTGAACTCCGGCCCCCCAGATGACTGCTGCTGAGGTTGCGATTGCGACGCTCCAAAGTTGAATCCGGCCGTTTTCTGCTGCGCGGGGGCGGTTTGACCGAAGTTGTAAACGGGCGTCGACGACGTCCCGGCGCCGAAATTGAACGCGGGGGCAGAAGCGGCGGCTGCCGGTTCGAAGCTGAAACCACCAGAGGGTGCTGGTGCTGGGGTAGCTGAGGCGGCGGAAGATGCCGACTGGCCGAACTGGAACATGGCTGCCTTCGCTGCCGGTTCAGAAGACGTCGACGACGAAGATGGAGCGGCTGATGACGCTGCTGGAATAGATATCAATTGGTCATGGACTAAAGGGACGGTTTATCAACGAAATTCTCTATTTGAAAGATTCATGTAAAAAAATTATGCATTCGTTCAAATTGAATAGGAATGTTCGCTTAGGTATGATTTATAGTAAACCTCTACATCTCAAACTATACAAAATATAAAATAAATATATCTTGCTTCTTTTTAATGGCACATGTATGGAAAATATGAGTGATATCGTCAGTGCCTTCTTAATCACAACGTCTTTTACTGATATAGTTGTCGTCACCGTTCTTGGCAGGTCAAAGTAAGACTACCAGTATCCCTTTATATATCTCCATCTCCCTCATACATACACATGCAACCTACCCCTGTGTGTGAACGTCTGTTTGGTAAGCTCAAAGACATTTATCTTTATGTATGAGTGCCTCTCAATCATATTTGTCAGAGTAACAACTTACTTGGTCTAATTGTACGTGCAATGCGAGTTGTCCTGTTATCAATAAGTTGTAAAATGCCCGGAAATAACGATCGATGGAGAAGGTCGACAGCTCGTGCTAAATTTATTATAGTATTTCCAGGAAACGAATGAAAACAGCAGTCCCCTGTTACCCACTTCATGCGTCCTAGAGAGAGTAGCGGATGCGCTGAAGCTCAAGATCCAGCCACGGTGCGGAGAATCGATCTGTTTACTTATCTCATATGGCGTTGATGATGTAACCGCCAAGAACGGTGACTACAACTATACCAAAAGTGCAACATTTACAACAGTTCGCTTCTTACAATACTAAACCCCTATTTTTTCATCTCTCAATAAAATTGATGAACATGAACAGGGGCCTGAAACGCCAAAAAAAACATAGCAGTCACCTTATGTCAAAATCTCTTCAGAGAGGACTTTCAGAGTTATCATGAACATGTTATGTATCAGACGTTTTCTAAAACACACACACACACACACACACACATATATATATATATATATATATATATATATATATATATATATATATATAAGCTTTAATTTTTCACCTAACTGGTCTAGACGACAATGACCACGTCTCAAGTTATATATATATATATATATATATATATATATATATATATATATATATTGTGTTGATATATATATATACACCTTAGGAAAAACCATTGTTATACATGGGAAATCATTTCTTGGCAACAGCGCATCGGCTCGTCTACTTTCATCGCTATTCGTACATATTTCCTACCGTTAACGCGCGTGCCGTTGTCAAGTGCGATAAGGGATTCATGACTCACTCTGCGGTTGGGTTTTGTGTAGGAAAGGTGCGTTTTTAGAAAAGTTTCAAATGATAGAATGGTACATCCAGAATAATCCAGCACGTGCGGTTGTTGAATTATTTGCGGTACGCTTCCCAGATCGGCTAATTCCGTCTCACGCAACGGTTATAAATACCTACGAAAAATTCAAGAGGGTGGGCTGCTTACATAAGTGCCATAGCTGCATGCACCCTGAAGGTTGGAAACCAAAAATTAGCGAGAAAAGGGAGGAGATCGAAACTGCTGTTTGTGTCGCTGCAGAAGTATCTGAGCCATGCTCAAGCAGAAAAATTGCTGAAATGGTACCAATAGCCGATCTCACACCCAGAACAACAAGAAATATTTTGCATCGCAACGGCTATCATAGCTTCAAGGTTGGAACGGTTCAAGAAATATTTCTTTTAGACAAATACCGTCGAATGGAGTTTTGTGAAACGGTCATGGAGAAGGCGAACAGGGATGGAAGTTTTATTGGTAACATTTTGTTTACTGATGAATCCACATTCCCTCTCCACGGTCATCACAATCCTTCAGTCGTTCGGTATTGGTCTCGGGAAAATAAACACCTCAGTATTCACACCGGATTATTAGCGGTAACGGAACAATAAAATGGCCTCCTAGATCACCCGATCTAGCGCCCAATGATTTTTTCTTGTGGGGTTATGTGAAAAGTACTGTTTACACTTTCAATGAGAGAGCAGGCAATTTGCAAAACCTACAGGTGAAAATCGTTGAAGCGCTCGGGCAAATACAGCCTTCTACCCTCTTGAGAGTTCGTCAGGAGTTTTATAACCGCCTGACATACTGTTCATTGAATGAAGGAGACGTTTTTGAGCCTCAGCTGTGAAGGACCATTTGAAACATTTGTGTTCATTATTGCGTTTTATTTTTGAGAACTTATTTTTTGTTAGAATATCTTTTTATTTTCGTTACACATTTTTAAGAGTGTACTATTTTTTGTTAGAGTGGGTATCTTCTTATTTTTGTTATGAGACGCAACCTTTATTGCTACAAAACCAATTATCCATTCATAAATATAAGTAGAGTGATTTAGGTGATTTCGTGAAATTCGAAATCACCGAAATCGGTTCACAGGACGTCCAATCGAACTGGTGCGTAATGCGCGCATCTACTGTACTTCTTCTATCGACTCAACGCATACTGAAATTTGCAGCAGACCGCAGACCTGTATCACGAATGAGAATAATAGGCAGATACGCTGTGTTGCCAATTTGAGTAGAGCTTCCCGAATTGTGGGGAATTTAGAGTTAAGTGTTGATTCATTCAAGCTTTTAATCAGCATGGCCTAGACGTTAGAACTTCATAAAGATAACATTGAAGCTGAATGCTGCTGTAGTATAGTGTTTCGAATATTCAAAGCGGAGCGGGTCACTATACTCGTTCAATGGGTCATCAAGCCACAGTCTTTTCAACAAAGAAATTATTTTACGAAAATGCGTTATATTTTTACGATTTAGTCGTCACCAAATCCCTGTTTCTCAAAATGTACGTCTATTGTAGAATTTTCAGCAAACTAAGCAATAAACGTGATCTAGTATTTACTCAACATTACGGATTTCTCGAAATACATTAAAAAATGTGACTTAGATACCTAACTGCCCCAAGCTCTTTAAATATAACACCTTAAACCAGGGTTACCAGGTGCTCAGTCACGTTGATTGTCATGTTGTACTGCGCAAGTCAGCAAACAATCTGGCGCAATAAACGTTAGGAATCATCAGGTATTGCCAGATTCCCGAATACCGGGCACCATAGTACCCGTTATAGTTGTCCTTCAAAGTTGTCAAATCGCCCCCATGGCGCAAATTCGCCACACCAGGCAACTGTGCTATAAACAAACCCTGTTTATCACTACTATTTGATAGTCATATGGTAGTTGTAGCCCTATCTAGCGGTCCATGGTTTCTCTCAATACTGCTCTCTACTGGCAACAAGAATAGGGATTACAAAATCATTTATACAACAATATACAAACATGAAAAATATGATTTGAACCATGAAACATTAATACAATTTTAATAGTTTGAACTTTTTTCATTTTTGGAATACTCTTATGTGGAATCCGCAGTTATTTTTCCCGAAATTTGGGTAGACTTAGATTTCTTAGAAATATGACATATTGGTATCGGCAACTCTGCGAATGGGAGAAACAAATCGCTTTTGTTGAGCGCATCCGTCTAAGCAGCAGGCGCCAGCGCCCGTTCTGCCATCTCTCTTTTATCACTCTTCTACTTTACCCCGTTGTCCGTCACACTCCGACGCTGCCAGATAGGATCCTACAATCGAGTGTCTTTCACGCACCTACATACTTTTGTATTGTATCCATCTCTCTTCCTCATCATAATGTATAATAATGTTTTTCCCAAGGTGTATATATATATATATATATATATATATATCAACACAAGAGAAGAACATCAAATTATCAATCACAAAAACAGATTTCCACATAGCCCTATCGACGACTTTAAAGTTCCACACTCAACTCCACTACGTTTTTGTTTGTTTGAAGATATTCCATAATTATGAAAGCATTCGTTTTGCACACAATGTCACTTCAATTTTTTCAGTTTATTTCAAGTTCTTTTTACCAACACTGAGTTTAACTAACCTCAGCTGAGTGAGATTTGTCCTCACTTGCTGCTTTCAGGTTACGTTTATTTCGTGTTAAGTGCAAAATGTGCCAAATTCAAATTGAGAGCCTCGAGTGATAAATTGTCTTTTTTAGGCTATTTTCTGATTAAGATCAGCAGTTCTTTTTGCACTCTGAAGTAATACAGACATTTACGAGGGATGTCTTTTAAGTTTTGCATATGGAAATAAAACAACACGGTAGGTAGTTTTAAATGACTTTGTTTTTCGAAGTATTCTCCACGAAGATTAATACACATCTGCATGCGCTCAAATCAATTTTTGAAGCACTTATTCCACTCGTTTGCTAGCAGATCCAAAACGGCATTTTTGAAAGCGTCAACTGCTTCTTCTGGTGACTGGAACCTTCGACCACGCAGTCTGTTTTTAATTTACGGGAAAGTAAAAAATTGTTAGAACTTATGTCGGGACTATATGGAGGATGGTCCAATAATTCCACGTTTTCTTCCGTTAAATACTGCCTTGTTTTTTGGGCTGTGTGCGAGCTTGGATTGTCTTGGTGGAGGATGATTCTTCTTTCGGGGTTGATTTTTCGAAGCTCGGTTTTGGCAAACAAATGGTGGTATGTATACCAATCCGCAGTAACAGTTATTTGCTCATTAAGAGGAATTGTTGCAATATGACCCGCTTTTGACACAAATGTCGCGACCGTCTTTTTCGAAACACTTCGAGAACGGATGACTTTTGTTGGCTTTTCTTCACCTTGGAATACCCAAACAGCCGATTGTCGTTCATTTTCTGGTTCATAACACTAAATCCACGATTCATCACCGCTAACAATGCTGTACACATT